CTAATAATTTACGTTAAATTGGAAATGATCACATAATGTCAAACTTTGTTAAGGTTTATTCACTTCTGAAACACCTATCCACAAAATATTCTCAGAATTTAAATAAGTATTTAGCAATCAACTAATGTACTTGCAACAAACAACAAATTAAAACTTCCATTAATATATTTTATTCACGAAAAAAGCATCTCTATACGAAAATATTCTTATCTGTAAATTGAATACATTATTCTCAGTTAAGTACATATTTCATACTGTGACAGTTACTTACTTAATAGATCAGTTTTGTCTTTTGGAATAGATTTAGATAGCTGGATCTCAACTTGTTCTTTTGTTAGGGAAGTTTGATTGTAATTTATCATTGATTTTCTATCTTTTTGATGTTGTTTTGTTATTATATAACTTACAATTCATTCTTACTTCTTTGTTATGTCAGTTTAACCATAGTTTCATATGTCTTGAGATGGTTAACTACAAGCTAATCTCATTATTTTCATTTGAATCTTACTAGCCTACTGACAAGGTATCAATTATTTGTTTGTGCTTTAGCAATTTCTGGCTATGCAAGACAAATGTGCTTTAAGTTTTACACATTATGATATTTTTATTTTTACTCTTTTTTGAATGAAACCGGTTTGTTCAACGTCCTTTGCATCGTTAAAGCCATGAATGCAGAGAGTTCGTATAAATCACAATTAGAATATTTTGCTTTGTGATTGCATCTGGATTATTTGCTATCGTCTTTGTCTCTCTGTCTCGTTGATTATTTTGGAATGAGATTTTGTAATTTTTACGAATCAATGAAAAATATTTTCTCACTGACTATAAATTTTGATAACAGCATTTACGTAACAATATTTGAAAAATAAGTATCATATAATATATGCATCACAGAATATTATTGAAAATGTATCAGACTTAAAATACACTTAATTCAGATTTATTAACTGAATTTGCATAGAAACTACCTTTTATCAGTTCACTCAGGTATGTATATTGCTGGAACATTATTCTATTGTTGGACAAGTTCTTTTGGCTTGTTTGATAAAACAAATCCGAAATCCAGTTCACGGGACAATAACAAATTACTTTATTTCTTCCTTAACGGTTGCTACAGGCTACTTTCACTTTTATCCGTAGATCTAATGTACAAAGAGCATTTCAACAGAACTTTCGAGTCTAATAGTAACTCCACCTAACTCATAAATAAAGTTACTTACACGTACAGAATTTCTTTACTAATCGATCAAGTAACTAACTGAATAGAATCAATAAGTCTCACTTCTAACAAAGAAGTGTGAACAACATTTTAGACACTGAACTTATAAACTCACCGAATACCCATTCACTGCTCATTAACTTCTCATTCATTACTCACTATTCATCACTAACTGGGTATTCGCATTTATAAACAGTGTTTCCTTGTCTCTAGTTATTGCCCCAAATTACTAGATTCTTGACATCATCGAAATAACGATCTCCCTTCAGCAAAGGTCTAAAGTAAAACATTAAAAATTGTCTTACAACAATATGAAATGTTTAGCTCAACTATCAATATTTTGGTCGAAGTAAGATATTAGCTTTTATATAATACAAGCTGAGGTACCCGTTCTTTGTCCGGGTTATGAACTTAGAAAAATATGGGGTTAGATGCTATAATAAATAACACAAAAATGCTCATTTTCACACAATTTATTTATAACATAACATATTATTACAGTATCATTATTACCTCACCAAAGGTTTTGCATAAGCTGTAAGAACTCACCATGTATATACTTAAAACATGGTATACATTGTGCGATAATCAGGGTAACTTTGTAGGAAGAGGTAGCGGCCAAATGTATGGCGGTAGGTGTGATTTCTGTTACCCGCTTTCCACACCCAGATTATAATGTTCTTTCACAGCGTTTCACGTGATTAATTAATTGAAGGCCATTGGCCACAGAAGTGTCTTATGGGCCGAAGATGAAACGTCACAGGTTAAAGTAGGAAGTAGTATAACTCAAGAAACGGCTTTTCATATTAGTTTAATGGTGACTGTTGGAGTAGAAACTGAGTTTATGTATTACTGCAATAGTGGTGGCTATTTGTTTTCATTGCATTCCTCCATTCAGAGTGCTAGCGCACTCTCTGAGATATATGAGACGTTTGTGTGCCCTCCCCCACATTGTGCGTTTGTTAGGTTATAAAAAATTATTAAGGTTGTGGCGCCATCTATGAATGTAATTAACTTTAAGTTACATTAAAGATAATAAATGCTCAATAACAACAATAATGGTGGATGGAGGGGGTTTTAACCCTTGTTAACATGCTCCTTGTTCCAAGTTATCATCCCACAACGTTTGGTTGAGATTGGCACAGCGACCTAGAAGTAGCTAGATAACAGACAGACAGACACACATATTTTTGTGCTTTATATATATAGATTGTAATGTCTTAACACATTAGATTGAAAACAGATTTTGTAAAACAAATTTTCATATATTAGTTATATTGTCAGCTTGAAATTTAGCACTTCAAGATTGTATATACTCGTGTGGGCAATATCCAGTTTGTTTGGATAGGGTCTGTCGGTGGAAAGTAGAAACAAAAACTGATCACATTTACAAAAACAGAAATATTAATTGGTGGAAGCGGTAGTAAAAAAATATATAAGAGAAACTTTGAGGGCAGATTTGTTTACTACATATAATGCACTATTTAACGTGCATTATATCAGTACCAGTAGTTTTTCCTGTGGAATATCATTATTAGTGCTTTAAGGCTTGATATGACCTAACAAGTTTATTATTTCAATATATGAGGATGTTTACTACTTAAAAAGATTACAATTTAAATTACCAGAAGCAGTAATTTAAGTTACAGCTAATAGTAGTACTCGCGCCACGAGTGGCATTTATTTCATTGGCTTTAAGTGGATGTCGAGAAAGTGTGCACGTGTAACATTCGCAATGCAGGTCTACAGTATACGGGTACCAAAGTTTGGGAATAAGCACTATGATAGTAGCAGTGAAAATTTGAAATGGCCGTAGAAAACGAACCGTTCGTTTGAAGTACCTATGAAACGCGCGACATTAAATGCCACTTTTCTATTGCCGTCGGCTTCTCGTAGTAAAAAGTGAAATGACTGCCAAACTCGAACCGTTGATCCAATTGCTTAT